TTCCAAAATCGTTTTGGAGTCATGCACTGATTGTCCGTGCTATACACTAAATCAAAATGTTTGATTTTATAAAAAAATGAAAACGAATTGTATGTTTACAAGAAGATAATGGGATGATTGTTGCATTCTTGATATTATATGTGTAAGACATATTATTAATAGAAAATGACGTCTATGAGAGATATGAGATGAGCAACTTGATCCACAGACATAGATCTAAAAGATTGCTTAACTCACTCCAATCTACATAGATAAAATCTTGAGAAAATTTTATATGGAAAAAATGAACTAAGAGTTCATGAATACACTGATGCTAACTTCTAGTCATATTAGAATGATACCATATCTCAATTAGGATATTGATTTACTGTTAAACAATGTGTTGAAAATATTTTAAATAGAAAACAATCGTTGATTCAATAGTAGAAACCTTTTATATCATTGCTTTAGAAGTAACAAAAGTTGTGGTCTGGATCAGGAAGTTCATAAGTGAATTTGGAATAGTTCTTAACATTATTAATCACATACTTTTGCATTGTGGTAACAACAGATCCATTGTACAAGCAAATGAACTAAGGTCTCATCAAATGTCCAAACATGTGTTAAGATGGTATCATCTTATCAAAAAGATAATACAAAGAAATGACATAAAAAAGAATGAATTCCCACAATTGATAATATTGCAAATTCACTTACAAAGAGTTGTCATAGCATAAACATGATTTTCATATAGACTCTTATGATATTAGATGTTTAATGTATATGTGATTGGATCTAGTGCAGTTTGGAGTTTGTAAGTGTTATGCCCAAGTCCAATCAATTTTGAACATAAACATTTTTAATATATAATTGTTGCATTTTATTTATGGAAGATCAATTATTTAATTTAATTAATATTGTAATAAATTAAGTAATAGAATTCATATATTCAAGTTTTGGTAATATGTTAATCACAAAGAGTTGTGATTGTGAGATACAAATTACATATGACTGAATCTTAAATTATCCGTGATCATAAGTAATAATGAGATACAAATATCGTTGTTACGGATAGATCATCACGTGTGACATTTCTTACTTGTGAAGTAAGTAGCTAATCTCACAAATTAAAGTGTGGTGACACTTAAATGAACACGTGCATATTTTGTTATAAAACAAAATGTTATAAACCCCCTGGGGAGATTCCATATGGACAACTATTTGAGTATCAATGGTTAATTTCTAACGTTTGGTAGTGGAATTGATCTTTCGATTTGATGTCATCACAGTGTCTTATATGAGGACAATCATATTTTGGTGATGTTGAATATTATTCTGCCAAGTGTTGCTAATACGACATCCTTCAGGTATATTAAGAATCATATGAATGTTGTAAATGATCAATAGATGATTCATCATTCTTATATAATAAGATATTACAATCTACATTTCATTCAGTTAAGTTGATAACAAAATTCTTGGTTAAAGTGTACTCATAAGTTGAAAAAGAGTTTTTGACTTACGTTGACACAATAGTGGAATGAAAGATATGATCAATAATTGAGATTGACACGCATTCATATCTCGTAATTGATTAGATCATTTTAACGAAATGATTATAATTTCACGATAAACGAACAAATTTTATTTTTTCATACCACGTAACATTTCTTGTTACACGTATTGGCTCGACACACTGCTAGACGTCAATCTGGGACGACGGATATGAATTGATGATAAATTAAAATCGGGTATTTTTATTTATTAATTTTGATTTGATCAAAATAATAATTCACATCGTTAAATATCGTAATCAGGAATCTAATGGATCACACATAAAAGGAGAACCAGAAGAATGAGATTCGCCAATTAATTAGTTAAAAAGTGTTGGACAATTAATTAATTGGATTGCTTATTAATATACAAAAATTAATTAATTTATAAACCAAATTTAATTAATTAGATTAATTATATATTTGATCAGTTAAATTTAAGAGACGATCAAGCCTACTTGGACTCGTATTATCTTGTTAGTACTAGAAAAGAGAAATCTTAATTCTCTCATTCTTGTTCACCGTGTGAATTTTCATTAGAGATTAGACAACTGAACAACTGTGGATTGTAGATTGCGATTGTTCGTGTTCCAGGTTTAACAAAAGAGTTTGCAAAATCTACAAAAGGTATAATTCCTATAACAATTTCTATCTAAACACAAAGTAGATCTTTGGTGGAAATTGAAATTATTTTATTTTTTGCTATGCATGATCAAGCGGACACCGTTTACTTTAGAGTGATATCGTTATCAATCTATAAGGAAATGGCCAAACCGCGTGACAAAGCGAAGAGGGATATCACATAATTCTACTTGAATCCGGCGATGGCGGCCAAGTAATCCCAAGTCTCCCGGTCCACTGGCTGGAAGCAATCGTACGGAAGTTCGAACCAATTCCTTCTCTTGTGTTGTATCTGAATGCCAATCTCGATATCAAAAAACTCCAAAGTCGTTTCCTCTTCTTTTTTTCATGTTTGATAGAAATACCTAGCAAACTTATCAAAAAACTCCAAAGTCGTTTTCCTCTTCTTTTTTTCATGTTTGATAGAAATACCTAGCAAACATCTAAAAAGTAGGTTTTTCAAATTTTATGCTTTCTTCTCAACCCCAGGGAATTCACTAGGTATAGGCTCAAGAGGCAAGCAACAATAGCTTGCTGCGGATCCTGGAACGAATGCATATACCTTTGTTTCGCTCATCCATATGCCTTAAACATTAGACTACGAGTGGGAATGGTATGACATTGTCACTGTTCAAAGATCACATCCATTATGAATCAATTTAATTCGATATATTGGACATAAATAAGGAGGGTCAAGATTTACAAATTTAAAGACGTTAAAAAAAGTAGTTTGCAACTTTCTAACTTAAACCTCAAAATTACAAGCTAATTACTAAACCCTTATTTGATCCCTATTTTTTTTAGAAGAAAATGATTGTTATACATCACAATTTACATATTCTTTTATAGATTGATAATGTGACGAAAAGAAAGTGAGTGTATTTTTTTTATTTAGTTGGTAAGATTTTGATTCAATTAAATTTCGTCACATCATCTGTTGGTAATCAAATCTGTAAATTGTTATGTAGTAGTATAACTGTTTTTAGAATAGATTTTGTAAAAAGTAAGTTTTTTGAAGAATACGTTATTAAAAAGTAAGAAGAAAGTTTTAAATTTAAGTATAAAATTATTTTATAAAGAGTGTGTAATGAAAATGAATTTGAGAAAAATAAGTTTCGAAATATGGAATTGAACTGGACTTTTGAAAGATTTACCGCTCGGGCAATTTTGCAAGATGATTGGTTCAACTAAAATTTGTTGTCATATGTGCTTTTGGTAAACATTGATGTATCCAACCCAATTCAATGATTCAAATCTTGTAAAGTCTTTCTTGTCCATGATAAAGTTGGTGAAAGATTTCAATCCAATAACCAATAGATACACGATGATCTACATATTACGTGGCTTTAATTTGTGCTTTTATTGCTACAAAGATCAAATCAAAATCTTTACATTTATCAATTATGTTTAATTGGCATACAATGAGTGATTCCTTTTCTTTTTCTCCAAAAAATAAAAATAAAAAATACATTTAATTTGTTTCGAGTCAAGGAATTTACCGTTGAAAGGATTAGGTACTTTATTTTAGTTTTTATTACTAGAAATTAATCAACGTACATGCATGGGCGGACCCGGGGGGTCCTGAGGGGGCAGGTGCCCCCCAACTTTTGAGATTCTATTTCATGGAATTCATAACTGTTTAATTTTTACCAAAATTTATTAAAAAATTGATTTTAATCTCCACCAAACAAAAGTAAAATCGAAATAAATTTGAATTTCGAAATATACTAATTTTAAAAATTCTCCGACGATCGTATGCTAATCGAATCTACAAATTATTTGAATCATTTCTAAGCTTATTTCAAGAATTACATTATGGACATACCGAATAGTTCAAACATATATCGAAAATAGTTAAAAATACGTTAAACATGGACATTTAAAAAGACGTCTAACTCGCATTTTTTATTAAAAAAATTCAATTATTTCATTAATATTTATTATTTTTGTGATACAAATTTCTCAATATAATTTACATCATTTTATTAGGACATTTTCAAAAAATTTCGAAATTTTACATTCGAAAAAATCATATCCCATTTAAATTTTTGAATGTAAAATTACATGGAGTATGATTTTTGAGAATGTAAATTTTTTATTGTAAAATTTCTTCCAATTTTTTTGCAAGTTTGATTGTGCCCCAACGTTAAAATTCTACGTCCACCCTGCGTACATGAACAACAATTTGGGAGTGCATATTGAAAGGATATGGTGTTTACACTGATCCTACCAAAACCACGTTAGTTGTGTATGAAAATTCCAAATAATCTACCAAATCTTCAGAATTTTTATTCTTCCACAACTGTAATTTCCTACTCCCAACTAACGGTGAGCTGCTGTCCACCTTGGCTCCAAAGGACAGAAAGAAGAAAATTTCAAAAAGAAACAAAAAAAGGGGAAAAGAGAGAGGAAAAAGGGGAAGAGTTTTCCCTTCTTACGCAACAAACGAACGAAAGTGGAGATGTGCATTTTTACTCTGGATTCTATCCCATCTCTTTGATTCACACACGCTCCTCTGTCCCTGCAGGCTCGTTTCTCAATATCCTTTCCATCTGGGTTTGTGCCTTCAAGTCCTAGAACCAGTGGATTTGGTTTTGAAATCTTGATTTTGGTTTAGGTTTTTACCTTTTTTTCTCTGTAAATTATGACATTCAATCAATATTTTTTTCAAAATACATTTTTTTTTGGTTCTTTTTTCAATCACACATTTTTCAATAAAATAATATTATACCAACTAGTTAACCTATTTCAAAATGTATTATAAGCAAAAAATTGGGGCTCAAACGGACCCATATTGAAAACCAATCTGGATATTGTGGAGACAGTATTTTTTATATGCTATGTACCATGAGAACTTTTTTCCCTTCTGAATCCTGTAAAGCAACAAAGCTAAAAGCTGTCAATCCACAGTCATGGATCCAAGCTGAAAGAGGCACTTTTTCCAAATTTGCATCGAAGTCTCCATCTTCAATGTAAGTGACCTCATTAAAAGTTTGTTATCAAGAACATTCTTTCAGTTTCATGTTTTCAGTCGTTGAACGGTATTTTTTGGATATTTGTAGAGAATCTCTTATCAAAGTCCGTGAACCTCCAATAGTTCCATTCTTTAAACCTGTTGATTATGTGGAGATTTTAGCTCATATTCATGAAGAACTTGAGTCATGTTCTCTGGAAGAGAGGTCGAATCTTTACTTGTTGCAGTATCAGGTCTTCAGGGGCCTTGGAGAAGACAAATTGATGCGAAGGAGCCTTCGTGCAGCTTGGCTGAAAGCATCCAATGTTTATGAGAAACTTATCTTTGGGGCATGGTTGAAATATGAGAGGCAAGGTGCAGAAATAATCTCTGAATTGTTGTCATCTTGCGGTAGATGTGCAACGGAGTTTGGGATTATAGATGTTGCCTCTGAATTGCATGCCAATGAAAGTCCACGCTTTCGAGGAATTGATATGTTGAGTGACAATCATATTTCAAGGATTGTTTCTTTCCAAATTGGACTTGAAAAAATAGTATGTGACAGGCAGAAATTTGCCGGCCTTTCAATTCCATTTCATGCAATGCTGTATGGGTGTTTTGTGGAATCGTCTTTTGAAGACATCAATCTGTCTGAAAATAATATCTCTCCTTCAGGAATGAGGTTGATCGGTGATTTCTGCATAACGGGAAGTTTAAATGAAGCGCCCTCCTCTCTTTTGTTAGAAATATTGGTGTTTGCCAACAAATTTTGCTGTGAAAGCCTTAAGGATGCTTGTGATAGGAAACTTGCATCTTTGGTTTCCTCCAGACAAGATGCAGTGGAGCTTATGGAATGCGCTATTGAGGAGAATTCCCCTGTTCTCGCTGCATCATGTTTGCAAGTTTTTCTACATGAACTGCCCGACTCTCTGAATGACTGTCAGGTATTTGAACTGTTGAGCAATGCCAGTAGGCAACATAGGTCTATAATGATCGGTCCAGCCTTATTTTCCTTCTACTCTTTACTAAGTGAAGTTGCAATAAATACTGATCCGCGTTCAGAATAATCCGTCCATCTCTCAAAGCAGTTAGTGGATTGTGCTGAAACCAGTCGCCAAAAAATGATGGCATATCATCAGTTGGCTTGTGTTAGATTCCTCAGAAAAGAATATAATGAAGCAGAAAATCTGTTTGAGGCCGCTTTCAATGAGGGCCATGTTTATTCTCTCGTTGGCTTGGCGAGATTAAGTAACATCGAGGGTCATAAAAATTGGTCTTATGAAAGACTGAGCTCTATCATTTCCTCTTATTCGCCAATTGGATGGATGTATCAAGAGAGGTCATTATACTGCGAGGGTGATAAGAAGTGCAGTGACCTTGAGAAAGCGACTCAGCTGGATCCAACTTTGACATATCCCTACATGTTCCGAGCTGCGTCGTTGATGAGGAAAAATGATTTTCAAGGAGCCCTTGCTGCAATTAACTGTGTTCTTAGATTTAAACTAGCACTGGAGTGCTTGGAACTACGTTTTTGTTTCTATCTCGCACTCGAAGACTATCAATCAGCGACATGTGATGTCCAGGCAATTCTTACACTTTATCCAGATTACCGGATGTTTGATGGACGGGTTGCAGCATCTAAACTTCATACTCTTGTGCGCGAGCATGCTGAGAATTGGACGACAGCCGATTGTTGGCTGCAGCTATATGAAAGATGGTCTTCAGTTGACGATATTGGGTCGTTGTCTGTAATATATCAGATGCTCGAGTCTGATGCAACCAAGGGGGTGCTATACTTCAGACAGTCTTTACTTCTGCTCAGGTAATATTTTGTTATATTCTTTGAATCTAACACGCTTTACGTCTCCTTTGGAAATTTGTATCACGTGTTTTTTTCTTGTACTAATTGCATTTTCCCTGTTCACCATCAGTTTCTAAAATCTGCTAATCACCTTATGTGGTTATAATAGCTCAATCCCTTCTGGTAATCATTACGAAAACCGTGCTGTTAGCCTCTGCCTCTCTGTTCAACTCAATCGTTAATTTTAATTGATTGCACTGAATTATTTTAACAAGGAGTTAAGGTAAAGGCAGGTGTACGAGTTAGAGATGGGGGTGGGTGTTAGCATTCTTAAGTTTTGCAAGGTCATCATTTGATAACAGAACATTTTTCTGCATGCCTGTATGCGAGACGAGAGAGGGGGGGGAGTAAAGATCAATTTTAAAATTGCAGGGTGTTAGTGACCTACTTTATATCAATAGGGTTTTAGGAGGGGCAAATCAATATATCTTGGACAACATAAGCGCAAGAGTGCAGATTGGATAAACATAACCATAGTGCATAATAGAATTTTCAGCAAAATATACATAAAGGCTATGTAGAACAACAAAGCGAAGCATAGAAGAAAGAAAAGAAAAAAGAGGAGAGAGACATGAACTTGAGAATTTAAGAGGAATTTCACTTATTCTGAATCTCACAAAAATCAACTCTAAATTTTTTCAACAAGACTAATCCTATAAATACATAAAATTGATGGAAGTTACAAATATACCTAATTGGAAAATTTCCTAAGAAATAATAATAATCACTGGAAAATAAATTATAATGTACTTATTTTTTATGCCTACCACAAGTGGATAAATTTGACATGTGATCTTCCATGTTAAGAAGGTAAATTGCCTTCACCAGAAATGTAATCTCCATAGGGAAGGCAACGACACGGGTTAGGGCCGGGATAGCCATCCCATCCCCACCTCAAATGAGGATTTTCGGGAGGTGGGGATTAATATCCTCATCCACGTCCCATTCAATTATTATCTTTTTTTTGTAATTATTTTTATTTGTTAAATATGATTTAAATTGAAGAACATAAAATTAAAATAAAATAAAAAAGGTTCGGGGCGGGGAATTTCGCCATCTCTAAATCTCCATCAAAAGGGTTTTGAAAGTTCACTACTTTGTTTATATATACAAGTGACTGGATTGTAATATTATTTATTTTAAACAGATTAAATTGTTCTGAAGCTGCTATGCGAAGTTTACAGCTGGCTTGCCGTCATGCATCAAGTGAACATGAACGGTTAGTTTACGAGGGATGGATCTTATATGATACTAGTCACTGTGAAGAAGGGTTACAGAAGGCCCATGAGTCTATTAGTCTCCAGAGATCCTTCGAGGCTTTTTTTCTAAATGCCTATGCATTAGCTGACTCTGCTCTAGATCCTTCTTGTTCATCCACTATCAGGTCACTTCTTGAAGAAGCTTTGAAGTGCCGATCAGATAGGCTTCGTAAAGGCCAGGTATGATTTTCTTGTGCTTTATAATTTATCAAGCACTGACACAAGGACACGTGTCCGATACGCAGACATGCGATTTTTCAAATTCTTTATTTATATAGTATAAATTTAGTTTTATACTTGTTATTAATTTTTCTTGTCGAACTTTTTTAAAAATGAGTGCATATTTGTTATTTAATAATAATTTTGAGTTAAAAATATATGATATTGCTGATAAAAAAATGACAATGACAGAGTGTCCAACACGTGTCGGACACGGACACGCTATTCTAGTTGAAGTGTTCATGCTACAGAGTTTATGATTATAAGATGAGATAAAGATGTTATGCAGAATGTTAAATACACGGACACGCTATCCTAGTTGAAGTGTTCATACTACAAAGTTTATAATTATAAGACGAGATAAAGAACTTTAAGATGTTATGCAGAATGTTAAATACAAGATGCTATTAGTGTATTCCGTGCTGAATTGGTCTCACTCACCACAGCCTAGTGCTATACTATTCTTCATATTTATAACCTTGCCCAAATGGTATCTGTTGTAGAGAATCGTACCTAGGATAAGCATATAGGAACTTCTACAATACGTTTAAGAGCTTTTCAGATAATAGTTATAATGGTGGCTGCATAGAGGAACTCCATTAACCTGCTCTGAATTAAAGTTCAACTCAATGTCATGATTGAGTTAGCCTAAGAATAGTGATTAACGCGATAAAGAATTAATAGTCAATTAAAAGACACAATTATCATAAGTTGGTTATGTACCATAGCTGTATAAATTTTAGTCTATTTGGATATGCTGCCAAGAGTTTTGCTTTTTTGTAACTGAGCTTTAATTATCCTTGTAGCTGGTAGAAGATGATATTGGTTGCTTTTCACAAGAGAAACGAATTATTTAATTGTCAAACTAGGTCTTAGATATCATCCAAGCAATATGAGTTCAGTTATGCCTGACTTAGTGGAATTGGCATTCTTAATGATTGATATTGGGTTCAATCTACATTAACTTCAATATTTTTTGCACTCAATGTCTTCTCTAGCTACATTTTGTCGACCTATGTAATAGTAATGCAGAAAGCAGTGTTCGGATCTTTTGTAAAAGTGTTGCTATATATGGCTAGGCCCTAAATAATCTTGGAAGTGTCTATGTTGATTGTGGTAAGCTAGATGCTGCAGCTGATTGCTACATCAATGCCCTTAAAATTCGTCATACTCGGGCCCATCAGGGCCTTGCTCGTGTTCATTTCCTGAGAAATGATAAAAATGCTGCATATGCTGAGATGACAAAACTGATTGAGAAAGCACCATATTGTGCATTTGCTTATGAGAAGAGGTCTGAGTACTGTGAACGCGAACTCATGAAGGCAGATCTAGAGATGGTCACTAGCCTAGATCCTCTACGGGTCTACCCCTACAGATTTCGAGCAGCAGGTCAGATTTCTTCTTAGTTCCCTTTTCACGATGTTCAAACTCCTTAACAATGACCACAAACATAAATTTTGGTGTAGATAAGCATATTATCAATTTAATTGCGTACTGTAATAATGTTTGGGCTGTGGCCCGACCACTATATATTTTTCCTCTCATATTACCATGGAATTAAATGCTTACAGCACCACAATGGATTATGGGGGGTTCCCTTGGTGTGTTACCATCGATGGCCTCTTAGGCACTCCTGACTGCCACCAGTGTTCCTAGGCACATCCACTTTTGGGTTGCAGGGGTAGTGCTATGGATTAAACCCTAATCCGTACTTTATGGAGCAAGGGAATGAACAAAGAACTCGTAGATTTTTAGTTGTCTGCCCCAATTTCTCACTATAACAGAGACAATAATATAATTTTTGCTCACACCTGATTTTTGCATGAAGCCTAAATAAATATTAGGATGAACTCACACACATTTGAATGCCGAATAAATCTTTTATATAGTAGGATTATTAAGGTGACCTCATATATGTATGAAATCCCAATATACCTATGTTCTAAAAAATTCTGTGTCTCAAGGCTACCACAAGGCTACCACACACATCGATCCACAGTCAACAGTAACTGTACACACACTGCGTTCAAGAGAAGGGGGGTGGGTATTAAAATAGTTGGTTTGCAGTTTTGCATTAACTTGGTCTGTTTTTTCTTTTGTTGGATGTTGCCATGTGGATTCGAAATTGTTTACTTTTATGCAGTGTTGATGGACAACAGTAAACCGAAGGATGCCATTGCAGAACTATCGAGAGCTATTTCATTTAAAGCAGATCTTCACCTTCTTCACCTCCGTGCTGCATTTCACGAGCACGTTGGTGATGTTATGGGTGCCCTGCGAGACTGTCGAGCTGCTCTCTCAGTTGATCCAAGCCACCAAGAAATGCTGGAACTTCACAGCCGTGTCAACTGCCAAGAACCTTAAAATTAAGACAAAAAAAGGTAAATGGAAAAGTGGATATACCTTGTAGAAGTCAAAAGAAAATCTTTGTAACATTAGTTTACACGTGAACTTTTCCATAGTGTAACAGTATACTTGTATCTTCTTGCACTTCTCCAAATTTTGTAACATTTTTTTCAAATTTTTCTTAATATAATTATTTTTGTTGAAACACTATCATGCTTCTATTTCTTAAAAGTCCTTGTTTGAGCCCCCTTTTTGGGGAAAAATGTGTTTTAGAATCTTTATTTTTTTGGAGTGCGTGGTTAAAAAATTGTTTAACAAAATGATGGATTTGAGTGATGATTTTAATCAAAATCAATTTACGAACCTTACCAAAAATTGGAAAATGTAATGGATATCAAAGAAAAATAATGTCAAACTAGCTCCAAAAGAAATGGATGCAGAGTTGAGGTAAAAATTGAACTCTTTGTTCTTAAGTTGAGTTTGCCACGCCATGGTACTCATGGACGATGGCAACTGACTCCCAAGATACAACGACAATCTTCTTGTGTTAGTAGCACTTCAAAATACAAGAACAATGAATTGAAGATTGATTTTTGTGTACCCCTTCAATTGAAAATGGAAAAATAGTTTTTTTATGCAGAATTTTCGCTAAAAATGATGAATTTAATGTCATGCTATGATTACATATCATTGGGATGATCAAATGGATGTCACAAGGTCTAATTTATAGATGAGGAAAGGTTGTGAACGGAGTGCTGCACCCCAAACTCTACAACCTTTACCAAGGATCGCAGGCCCTTGTGTTGTTCGACGTCAGATATAGAAACTATGTCACTAGCTTTTCGCTCGATGAGTAGAACAAGTTAGTCTATTTATTTTCATAATTTGATTATCGGATCAAGTCCGAATCTTTGGTTGAAATTGACATGAAAATCACTTTTCCTCATTTATACTTAACCAATTTCAATAATCTACCACATGAATGAAAATTCCACAATATGCAATTCAAAAATGCAAATGATATGCAAACTCTAACATAGGAGTATATACGACAAGTTATAGCATTAGGATAGGTGGCTTGTGACTTTGAACATTCCTTAGTTGAATACAATCGAATTTACTAAACTAATTGGTGAACACGATATATTGAACCATTCAGGCATTCGCGTAAATCAAAATAACTGTACAAATACCATAACTTATCTAATCATTTCGGTTCTGATGGTTGTGTTTTTTTTTTTTTACTCTGAACAACTCTTGGTTTAATAAGTGCTTTAAGAAAATTTAGGCCTTAAATTCTCGTAGAAGTGGCCCCACTTCACACTTACATAGGTGATCTCATATATTATCGTATCGTGCATCTCGTCTTTTTCCAAGATATATGAATCATTAAAAGTATACTTTCATCCTTGATCACCTTTTATTCCAGCACTTTAGGTTTGTAGGAATGGGAATAAGTGCTTTACATTAAATGTTTCATAACTTAGTTATCTCATTGAACTAAGATCATGGGATATCCAATCTACAAGATTATGTTTATGCTATATTGATTCAATTCGATAGTCTTTAGGCCTATTCCCCTAAAAAGATGGTATGCTTGATCTCTAGCTAGTCATTTCCTCAAAGGATCTGCTATGTTTTCCTTTGATTTAACATAGTTAATCGAGATTATACCATTCGTTATCAACTCTTTGATGGTATCATGTTTTCAACGAATATGTCGAGATGTACCATTAGACATACTATTTTATGCCTTTGCAATTGCCGATTGATTATCACAATATATATTAATCACAAGTATCAATTTTTCCCAACAATGAATATCCTCGAGAAAATTACGAAGCCATTCCGCTTCTTCTCCGATTTTATCTAAAACAATAAACTCAAATTTTCATCATAGAAATAGCTATACAATTTTTCCTAGATGATTTACAGGACACAGTTCCGCCTCTAATGGTAAACACATAACCACTGGTAGACTTTGAATTATTTTTGTCATATATCTAATTCGCATCGGTATATCCTTCTAACACTGCAGGATATCTTGAATAGTGTAATCCATAACCAACCATATATCTTAAGTATTTAAGAACTCGAGTTAATGTAATCCAATGATTATTACTTGGATTACTTGTAAATCTCCTCAACTTGTGTCACCATATGCTATATCAGGATGCGTGTAGTTGGTAATATACATTAAGCTGCCTATAACGTGCGAATATTCTAATCGAAATACAGGATCACTAGCATTTTTGTCTAAGTGTAAATGTAATGCTACGGTGTTTTAACTCGTTTATCGTCATACGCCTTAAACTTTTTAAGTATAGCTTCAATATAGTGTGACTGAGACAATGACAAACCATCAAATGTTTTAATTATTTTAATCCCTAATATCATGTCTGCTACTGTCATATCCTTCACGTCAAAATGTTTTATCAATATTTTCTTGGTCGAGGTAATAATGTTAGAATTATTTCCCATAATTAGCATATCATCAACATATAAACATATGATCACATATTCGTTAGGTGTGGTTTTGATGTAAATACATTTGTCACATTCACTAATTTTGAAACCATTTGACAACATAGTTTTGTCAAATTTTTCATGCCATTGTTTCGGTGTTTGTTTTAATACATACAACGATTTTACAAATTTACACACCATATTCTCATTTCTCGGAGCAACAACAAACCTTCAAGTTGTTCCATATATATTTCTTCTTCTAATTCACCATTCAGAAATGCATTTTTAACATTCATTTGATGTATTTTAAGATTATGCAATGCATCAATTGTAATCAATAAATGTATAGACTTGATCCTTATAACATGTGAATAGATATCAAAGAAATCTAGTCTTTCCTTTTGTTTATATCATTTGGTTACTAGTCTAACCTTATACTTGTCTATTGATCCATCCGACTTCAATTTCTTTTTCAAAATCCATTTGTAGCCTAAAACTTTGTTTCTTGGAGGAAGTTCATCCAATTCCTAAGTATGGTTATTCGTGATAGATTTAATTTCATTATTAACTGTTTCTTTTCAAAAAGGAGTTTCGGGAGTGGATATTGTTTCGTTAAATGTCACTGGATCATTTTCTAGTAGAATGTTAGAAAATCTAGACCAAATATCTTATGAATCCTTTACCTTTTCCTGTGCCATGATTTTTCTTCTATTTGATGATTACTATCTTCTTAATAGTTTTCAATTGCAGTATCGTTAAGTTCGTTTGTATGTGCTTACTTCTTTCTCTTTATAAGGAAAGATATATTCACAGAAAACAACATTCTTTGATTCAATAATAATACATATATGTACATCAAGTGTTTTAGATTTATGAACCAAAAATTAATATACACTACTATTGTTTGCATACCCGATAAAATTACAATCAATTGTCTTAGGTCCAAACATTTGTACCTTTACGAAACACTCCCACATTTTAAAATATTTGTAGGAAGGTTTTCGACATTTCCATAGCTCATAAGGTGATTCATTCTTACTCTTGTGTGGTATTTTATTAAGGATATGATTTGTCGAAAGTATAGCTTCCCCCCATTCCTTTTTCCAAATTGATTTTCAATTTCAGTTTTATAGTGCTTAAAAACTTTCAAAACTTCGTCTTTACTTTTCAACAAGTATACATAACAGTATCTTGTACAATCATCCATGAACGTGATGAAATACTTTTTACCATATTTTGTTTGGACGTACTTTAAATTACATATATCGGTGTGAATAAGTTCCAAAGGTATCGTGCTACGTTCAACCGAATGAAACGACGCTTTAGCTAACTTAGCCTCTACACCAATTTTGCATTTTCCATTTGTATTAAAATGCATACTCGATAGTAAACTTAAATTCATTAGTTTCCATATAGAATTAAAGTTTACATGTCTTAATCTATGATACCATAAATTAGACGACTCAAAGAATATAAGAAGAAGAAGATATATTATTCCTCGAATTATTCGGTGCAATGGTAATGACGTTCATCTTGAATAGTTCATCTTTTACATAGTCTTTACCTACATACATATTATTTTTGGTAAGTATAAACTTATCCGATATAAAGACTAATTTAAACCCATTATTACTTAACAAAGAACCCGACACTAAGTTCTTGTGAATATCCAGCACATGAAGAACATTATTAAGGGTAAGTTCCTTGCCCAATGTCATCTTCAAAATAACTTTGCCTTGCCCTTCAACTTTTGAATTTGAAGAGTTTTCCATGAAAATTTCTCACCATTGGTCGGAGTGTAGGATGAGGATATTCTTTTGTTGGCACAACTATGACAGGCAGCACCCGTTTCCACCCACCATTCCATGAGATTTCCAACATTGTTGCATTCTGAAATAACAGTCGACAAATTTATATTTGATAGACCTTTAGATATTGTATCAGATTCTGTGATATTCATCTTGCTTATTAGGTTTCCGAAATCCACTAGAGCGATGCCCAGCCTTTCCACAATTATAGCAATTGCCATTGAACTTCTTTGTATTCTTCTTGGATGGTTCAGCATAATGCTTTTTTTTTTTGCTTTTGTTATAGGATTCCACCACATTAGCCTTAGCTTGTGGTATATAACTTCCAACATATTTGTCCGAATTTCAATTACCTTCTTCATTTCTCAATTAGACGATGAGTTCTTCAATATTCATTTCCTTAGGCTTATGCTTGAGATAATTTTGAAGTCCTTCCACATGGGTAAAAGTTTCTCGATAATTGCAGCCACTTAAAATGATTCACTTAGAGACATTCTCGGCATGAATGTCGTGGAGTATAACCTACAATTCTTGAACTTGACCGATGTCCGTTCTTGAATATACCATTTTAAAGTTTAAATGTTTTTCTGCAATGAACTTCTTAGTTCCATTGTCGTCAATCTTGTATTTCTTTTCCAAGGATTCCATAATTTCTTTACAGATTTTATGGAACTATACACATTATATAACGTGTTGTCCAACCCATTCAAAATGTAGTTTTTGCATAAGAAGTCAGAATATTTC